AAGAGATGTCGTCCACGGAACACCTGGAGACGTTCACTAGAAGCAGAGGTCAAGTCCATAGGCAAGAGTTGGTATCCGCTAGAGAGGACTCAGAGAACGATGTACAGGACAGGACGCTATGGAAAGAGACTGTTGATGGCCTATGCTCCTGAGAAGGGGTGAAGGGCGAACAATTCGAGCGCCGCATTTCAGCAGATATGGAACGACTTTCAAGCCTTCTAGTTGGTTATATCTCTGATCATTATATTACTAGAGCTGTACACGCGCTATGATTGGTTAATATTCGGAGCTGAACGTTTCTGTAGCCCAAGGCATTGTCGCAAGCCATATTCTCATGCTACGGCTCCCTCACTTCGACTAATAGGAAATAAGTTTCGATAAATTAAGTCTTAAATGTAATAAAGAGTGCTGGGATAAAATCTTTGCAGCACACTTCAACTGCGATTTACAAAGGAAATCAATTCTCGAGATGATTTTCCCACTGGCAAAATTCAAACGTCTCAACACGCTCACCTTTTTTGCTGCCAGTATTTTTCCAATTCTCAAGTCTAATCTTGACGGATCAACGGCTCTCTCAGCCACAGCTGCTGCGCCTCCTTTGCCACCCTCTAGAACACAAAAATAGCAGATCATCAAAACCTTCCTTGCTTGAAACTTCAGTTCAAACTCGACAATCCATCTGTTTACTGCATCCACTCGCAGCAAGGATAGAAAGAATCTTACAACTTTCTGATTGGTTCCGTTTAATTTGACCAATCAAAATGATGTGTGGGCGGAAATGACGCGGTAACAACATACACTGTAAGGATAGTTTGAATCAGCTCTACACACATGCCCACGAGAATGCCAGACATTTTAAAATGCCTATGAACTACACACTTACTTGCTTTCTTGGGCTCAGGATAGGCAAGTTTTGTTAACTTCTGCAGTTCTGGAGTTTGGAACTTCTTTCTTATGGGTTCAAGAAGCTTTGGAGAAAAAAGAAAGTTACTGATTTCTGCAGTTCTAGCTTTGCACCTCAGTACACATATTGTATCATTGGATTTTGACGCGGTACAGTTAATCACACTGTACACGATGATTGTGATTTTCGTTAGCTTGTGGGTGAAAGCCCAGCTCAGTGTGTGCCTATTCAGATGAAAGCTATTGAGCAGTATTTTCACGTGGTACTGTTTTTTGCAGAAAGTGGCTCCGATTTTCAAATATGTGGATGATGACAGCTATTGAGTACTCTCAGCACTTTCACATGGTGTTGTTTACTACGCTGATTGCTCTAACTTGAATTGCGCAAATCACCCAAGCGTATGACCTCTACTAAGTCGTTCATTTTTCGTTTCTTTCCAACATAGAAGTGTCAGGCCTAGTTCACACTGGCCACATAACCGCATAACATGGACGTTGTGTCGTTATGTTTGCAGTGTGAACATCCTGACGTAATGGCATAATGGCAACATAACAGCATGAACTTAAAAAGACAAACTGAACTTTTCCTTATGTATAAATTTATGTCGATGTTCACACTGCGACATAAGCCACTATGTCGTTTGTGTCGTTATGTCGCTAGTATGAACTAGGCCTTTGTAATATTTTCAGTTTTGAACTTTGCAAACTTAGGACGAAGAGGAAAAACTAAAACATGCACAAACACACCTCGTTTATGAAGTTTGCAACTCCGTTTTTCAGATCAAGTGGATGAAGTTCCTGATGAGCCAAAAGAATTACAGATCACTGACACTGTATATAACCAAGAGTGATCAGAATCTTATTTCCTCTTAAATCAACAGAACATTTACACGCAGACAGGTCATAAGAATGCAGAAACTCTCCATACAAGTATCACCACATTGATATAACTATCAAAGTGAGGAGAAAATATGTTGTGATCAGCTTTAGTTCAACTCTGTCACCTTTTTGGCAAATGTCTGCTCAAGAGATGCATAGTCCTTAAAAGATATTCTCCCGCCATTTTCTTCTGCTCTTTCGATTACAAATTCTACAACAGAGGAAGATAAAAATTAAATTTTTCATTGCATAAATTGTTTACTCTCTGCAAGAAGACAAACAGAGCTACTGTAGAACCCCGTTAATCCAGTCACCAATGCACCACAGAAATCTGGCTGTATTAATGGGGTAGCCTACTGCGTATTAAATGACTGACTGAGCTTTTGTTCGCGCCAGAATAAAGAGGTTGCAATATCAAGGTGGCTGTAATAACAGAGTGGCCATATGAAGGGTTTCCACTGTAGCACGAAGTTAGACAATGTACATTTTTTGTGCATATAAACATGTTTGCAATGGTCTGACTCTTACTAACCTGTTTGATGTCTAGTTTCCAAAACTGAGAAAATAACAAACTTCGCAAAAGCGAGAATTCCGTTTTCCTCAATATTTCCTTCTTCACAGAATGCCTGTTGACAACAAAACAAAACAAAACAACACCAACAACATTAAGCAATCTACTGAATGGGAAACCACATGTAGTAAGATGTGCAAGTACAGTACTCAGATTTAAGCCAGGAATTAGACATTGATGATGACTGGTGGGGTGGGGAATTTCATCACCACGTGGGAGGACTTGGAAATGTAAGTGCCATATGGAAGGGGTGGGAGGGGTACCTAATTTGGATGTGTTGCATAAATTCCACAACATGTATCAGCTTGCTGCTTGTTATCCTTGACCAAAATTAAAGGTTGAGTGATACTAAATCACGATTTCAGTTACTGGGTACACAAAATGACTTCAAAAGCCTTGCACAGTAAGTCAAATCAGCGTGAAATGAACATAATTAACACTTAGTTAGTTAACAGTTACCTGATCACTTTTAATACAAACATAAAAATCTCCATGTGGCAGGATTGATGCAACAGTACGGGATAATGATCTATGACATGTTTTCACATGATTCAGAACTGACCTTATTCAACTTTTTCTTAACAGCAGAAGCACCATCCAAAAGATCTATTTTTGAATCCTTGAGCAACCAAAACAAAAGTACATTAGGTTCAACAGTTCAGCACCTAACTGGGCCAAGTATGGCCAGGCTTAATCATTTCAGTTTGCCATTACTTTGAAAAACACTTTTAAATTGAATCCTTTTTGTGCTCAATACCCAGGCAAAATACGTGCCTCTATGTGGAGGCACGGTGGCCTCGTGGTTATTGCACTTGACTCTGGATCGAGCTGTCCAGGTTCAAGCATTGGCCAGGGACATTGTGTTGTGTTCTTGACCCAGACAATTTACTCTCACAGTGCCTCTCTCCAACCTGGTGTATAAATGGGGGTAACCAGGGCTAACCTTGTGATGGACTACATGTACATTGATCAGTACATCTACATTCATGTACATCAGTTTCCCACTGGCTGTGTGAACAACTTATTACATGATCAACTTGACTAAGACTTCTCAGTCACAAGCCTTTGAGTCCTGAACTAGGAGTGTGTGTGAATATACTGTAAGTCTGCATACGAACCAAGTGGCCCATCAGGCAGGTGCTTATCTCCGGTTTCTGTAGCAAGAAGTGACTAGGAGTATTTCTACTTCCACCCTAAATCAGATACTAGACCATCGCAGGGTTACCTCCCAGCATTAAATTCACCGGTATCCATTTATACACCTGGGTGGAAAGAGGCACTGTGAGAGTGAACATCGTCCCTGGCCTGGGCTTGAACCTGGACCGCTCAATCTGGATGTGAACACACTAGCCATGAGGCCACTGTGTCTCCCTGTACATATCTAAACTTGAATACTGTAGACAAGCTGATAATCAGTTCTACAGTACTGCTCTGCTATGTTCATCATAACAGCTCACCTCATCTGATGCACTCATCTTGGTGCCTGTAAGACCTGGAACTAAGAATCATTAACGTTCATATTCAGCAACACTCTTCAGTGGCGGAAAGGTTAGAAATGTCAAAGAGTGCACAGATGTCTTAAAAACAATACATTCATTGCTAACTCACCCATGGGATTCATAAGATGGATTCTCTTGGCATAACCTAGGGAAGGCAGGTACTGAAGAATATTTGATGTTAGGGGAAAAACATCAGTTGTCTTGTTACACAACTTTCAAGGTGATTGGGAGGACGTGGAAGATCAGAGGGGTTGAAGCAAGCCAAGGTAGTACTTTTTGTAACATTGTCATGTTTTAACCCTATTCAAGGCTGTAGCTACCTGAAGCACTTGCCTCATTTTTATTTTTGAAAAGCACATACACTGTACAATGTACGGTCATTTGGTATTTTTTGAAATTGTGTATGTTAAGCATTATCATTGCTAGAGACCCAGGAGCAGATAATTGGGGCAAGATGAAGTAAACCAAAAATCTAACCTTTTCAGCAAAAGTAAATATTTTGCGCTGATCTACTCCTCCAAACTGTGCGTCTACCTTGAGGTATTCCTCATCAAGGGCCTGCAATACAAGTGATTATTAGCAGATGGTAAATTCATGCTGGCCTCATTCCCTAGGTGTTTACTGCTATTGGTAGATACTAATCAATGGCCATTCAGACCTCTTGGATAAAGCCTGCCTTATGTATTAAGTCTTTTGTTATGCAAACTGACTTTGCTGGGTGATCTGTTACATGGTTGCCACAGACATTATTTTTCAAAATTCCCTGACTTTACACTGATAGAAATAGCATTTCCCTGACCAAAAAAATACAAAATTTCAGATCTGGTAGCAGCTTCTAGTGTGAACTTACAGCCGTCCTTTCTACTTGTTCATTGAGACGGATAAGTTTTCAACAAATTTTCTTTCTTTATTAAGGAAAACTACCATTAAGATCACAGTGACCCCAAACGTTTCTTCCAGGTACGTATTAAATCAGCTGTGTCAAATTATTTCAATTTTCCCTGTAGTGACTTTTCTTCAAAATGTCAATTTTTCCTCACTCAAAATAAAATTCCCTGACTTTTCCCTGACCTTGAAGAATTTTTTTCCCTAACCATATTTCCCGACCTGTTGAAACCCTGTGCCAATGAGAATCATGAACATGTTTTCCTGTGTTTGTGTTTGACTACCAAAGTAAATGTGAAAACCTTTAAACGAGCTTAGCTCTAAACACAAACAAGTTTACGCCAAGTTTAAAACACTTTCAATGGTTTGGGCATCTCTGAGCAGTACTGAAGCTAGCTACATGTCCTAGTTACACTTCTACAACACTCTAGAACTAATTAAGTACGAAGTGTATGCATAACAAAGTACTAACCTGCAAGCCTGGGTACAAAAGACCACTAAGAAGAGGATGCTGAACTTGCTTAACAACCTCAGCTCCTGCTTTCTTGGCATCATGCTAATGATGAATAATAGTGTACATACAATAATTTTTAATATATTTTCCTGTAGTTTGGTATAACCTGCAATCAGTGTACTAATTTTCTCATGGCAGTGGGAGGAAGGAAAATTCAGCCCTCAACTCATAGCATTATGACAGCTTTCAATAAAGGTTGAAATCCAAGGAAGATTCAAGTCCAGATTCACTTAACACATGACTTTGCAGGTATTCAAACCTTAATTTGGGAGCAGCAGATAACCATTATCTAATAACTGTATACAGGACATTCCTTTTTTTCCCTCTATCCCACTGCCATGAAAACTATAGGATGCCTTAATACCCAATACCCAAGTATATATTTTAATTGCTTGTGGTCTCCTAGTTGACTCTTGAAGTAGACCCTCAAGGGCACTCAAATTATGCCTTTTATATTGGTAATTTATGGACTGTATGTAGGTTAAACTTCAAAGAGCAACAAGAAAAATTTGCAACAACCAATTAGTTGAACCATCAAACAAATACGTTTCTGATGCATATCAGGTTAGGTTGGCCAACATTGGCACAAATTACCTCAGTAGCCACTGTAGTCATTTTGAATATATCCAAAACATAGTCTCTGGGGGAATAAAAAGAAACAGTACAAGGAAAAAGGTTGTTACCAAAAGGGTTGTTCAAATCAAATTCTTTGATAACAGGACTGACACTCAACAGACATGCTGAAATAACAGCTACACCAAACTTGACAATAACTGTAGTAATCCATTATTGATAAAACATCTAGAAAATGAAGATGAACATGCTTTATATAATTTAAGTTACTTGTTCAGCTGATAATCTGTTCCTCTGACAAACTTCAATTTTCCCAGGGGTACATCTATTGATTCCAGCATTGCCTGTCCAACAGAATAAAACAAGTCAACCTAAATAAAGCATGGCTGCTGCAAAAGTAACAACTTTTTATTGAAAAGGGGAAATCTACTAACAGCAGCTGTAAATCTGTACTTCTATCAATTATTATATCATTTGTATTTATATTAATTATCACTGATCTCTCAAAGTCAGCTAGATCTATCCTTAATAGAGTCACAATGTTTTTACTTTAGAAACAACATTTAGGGAAACAATTTAAATAATCCCTCTGGATCATTCATCATATGATTGTAAGTTTTGTTTCCCAAGGAAGTTCTCCAAGTATTGATGCTAGTTGTACTGGACGTTAACAGCACAAAAACATAAAGTTGGAGATTTATTGAGAATTATTGGCTGAGAGATTAGCTGCAGGCTACTCTGCAGAAACAACAAGCATTATCATTGGATACAGTTTTTTCCTTCCTTTCCATTGGCTGAGAGCCCACCATGTGACCTGAAAATAACCGCCTAAAAATAATGGTCTGCTCATGTGTAATACCGTCTAAATGTGTTTTGCTGCAAATAATGTGCAATTATAATACTCTTGTGTGAAAAATGGCAGATCGCTTCCTTGAGCTGTCAGAGAGTGATTTACATATGGAAAACAAACTTCAGTTGGTGATTGAATGATAATATGATTCTTATTGAACTCACAAACTATTGTGATTTGATAGTGTCGTGCAGATCAATTATTTGCCTCAGCCTCTGGCTTCAGCAAATAATTGATCTGCTTGCCACTGAAAAATCACAATATTTTGCTCACCCTCATCCAGTAATAATTGTTAACAATAATATTACTTGTATTTATGACCAACCTTGATCACTTCCTCGTAATATTTGACTCTGTGAGCTAAAAGGTCCCAAGGAGCTTTCAGATTATCCAGATAGGCATGAAGGTCAGCTAGCAAAACTGTCACCTAAAGAAATACACCGTTACTGTCAGTAGTAATTTTCTTACTACAGACTTGACCAGAACATGGTGTACAAAGTAACTCTTATTACAGTGCTGCAACATGTATTCATGAAAGGCTAAGTGTTCATTGTTTCTTCAAGAAAATAAAGACAAAAGAATCTGTTGTGTCACATTTAACTATATATTGCACTTATAATAACGGTAAAATTGACCCAGTAGGGCCTAGAGCATCACGCTCCATTAACTTGCTCCAAGGCTTTATTTTTTGACAGATGTTTGTGGAATAGATCATGCAGCAGAATATGTCAAGACAACCTACACGAGTGTTAAAATCATCCTGAATTAGTGAAAGGGATTTTTTGACATCTTGGGTGCACTCAGGCAAACTTACGAGTCCAAGAGAACAGAAATGATCAGAAATTAAAACTAAAATTCATAAGGTATACTCCACGCCTCATGTTACAAGGGGTTTATTTTACATACATACCTCACAATCCGCTTTCAAAAAGTCAGCAATTTTTGTCATTGGCACAAAGTAGGCAACATGTGGTCTCCCTGTGGTTGCTGTACCCCAGTACAAAGAGAGATGTTTTTCTTGAAGTATCGTTCTCAAACGATCTTCACCAATCACTTCCTGTAAGATGGCATTATCGAATTAGCAGCACCCAGCCAATTAATAAGCTTTTAAAAAGATTCTGAACAAATTTGTAAGTAATTAACAAATCATTCAGGTGCCATAATAGTTTAGTAATGAAATCAAAATGGATGACGCTTCAACCAGTAATTAAGGCACAAATTTTACAGTTAAGTAAAAATTTAAGTTTGGCCCAACTACAGAACAAAAGAAATGTAAGCTTATGTGACGTCACAAGATATAAAAGGGCCGGGGTATAACTAATTTCAACCATCAAACACTACATTTTTATATATAAGCATAAAAAATAGTTCAAGGATTGACCTCGTAAGTACGCTGATTTAAACTGAAAGTGTCAAGTCCTCACCTGTAAATTTCTTGTGATCAAATTGAATTTGTCGTCGGCAGAAGACGATGCATTCGAAGCCATATTTCCGGTATCCTTTCGACAGAGTCTTACAGCACTGTTTATTGGTTGAATCAAGCCAAACTTGCTAAAGCGTTGCCTTGAGATAAACAGCCGCTGTAGCATAGAACTCGACAACAAGAGATGGTGTACTTTTCACCCCACCTTGCACGTGTATTACAAGTTTTATACACCTTTCTCACGCAATAGCCACACAAAACATGGACATCACTTAGAAGCCTGGCCTTTTCTAGAAGAATCTTGGGCCTGGGGAGAATTAACTCCTAAGTACCTGGCTATTTCTGAATAAAAATATTATGTGACCAAAATATATCCTCGAGAAGAAGGTTCGTGATATGCGGATGGCCTTTTTTTCCCATTAGATGTGAAATGGTTAGGTTTTTTTTCTCGTGAATTGGGATTTCGTTCGTAACTTAACTGGGCTGTGAACGGGAGCCCATGATATGCGCTCCTCAGGCTGTGAACCCTGATTTTTCAAAATGAAATGAGAAATAAACGTTTCATTCGCCGTGAACCCTTATTCTGATTATGTTTTCTATTATTTGCGACACCGTCATTACGTAATAAACACTGCATAACCATGAAAGGCAATCTGTTCAATTCCTTCTGCAGTTCAGTGGGGTGGTGGTGGAGGGGGGGTCCCTTTCGCCTATGATTAAGACTATGATTCAGACGTCGTGCCCGAGTCGTACCAATTTTAGGATCTACAGAAGCCAAAGAGTTGCGACCCGCCGACTAGGTATCAATAATAGGTACTCAAATGGTACATGTGTGAGATACCTCATTTGCATTAACGGACACGAGCCGATGACTATAGTGTGGGATACCACGGGTATCTCACACAAAAAGTAGCAAGGCTGCTAAACCAGCAAAGTTCAGGAGGGTCGTTACTTTTGGAAATTAACGGCATACGGGTTGCTATGGAAATTAAGAGTGTTTCGCGATTAAAGAACGAATTATGATGAATAAAATTGTGTACCTTACCTCTGTGATGTTTATCTTCAGTGTGTGTTCTTTAGCTAGAATTCACTATTCCATGAAAACATGAAAAGTTCCGACTTTTTTACATAAAAATTGGTCTCTTTATTTCATACACTTAACCAACGCGAAATTTAGCAGCAGGGATCTATCATGGCACATTGTAGAGACAACGGAGACAAATTTTTGGTTCACTACTTTGAAGCGTTTCAAGAACGTTCCTCTCAAAATGTAATTTATTATTTCACGAAAAATCAGAGTACCGATTTTATCCGAGTGGTATCAAAAATCCCGTTTAGTGTAAACATAGTGGTGTAAAGAGGCCCTTAAGGGTAGACACGCAGGTGTCACGACTTAGCGATTCCGATTGCTTGCTTAAGTTCTCAGATGAAAGCGTCCTTCTCCTTTATTTAACAAAACAGCCAACAAATCACAAGACATCCGTTGAGCGGCAGGAGCAGTGACCCCACAAACAGGGGTTCCCGTGCTACCCGTCCCTAGCTGTGGTAGTAGAGTGAAGTTGTTGTTGTACTTAAACGTTGTGACCGAGGTCCACAAACGCGCAAAAAAGGACGAGGTTAACATCGAGCCACCTCGGGTCAAACACACTTATCTTGCGAAACACAGCTGGTAATCTCGTTTGCCTGAATTTGCCCGCTTGGATAGCCAATCACAAGGCCAGACTTGGTTCCTTGTACCCACTCACGGAGCTAGCCACATATTAAAAGACAGTACCCCCGGAAGCAATGTCTCATTGCCACATTTTCTGCAGCCAGTGTTTGCGACCTTCTTACTAGTCCTACTATAACGAGTAACTTTTTCTTACCGAATGCATACAATTCTAATTCATACAATTCTCATGCTACATGTAAATCAGGACAACAATTATCTGCTAAACTCTTATCATTTATCTGCCTGACAACTAAATCTCACCCGAGTGTTTATTGGCAAAATACACGTTAATTGTGAATTAGAAAAGTTGTTACTTTCTCTACTAACAGAAACACGTTTTTTTTCTTTAAAAAAAAGTTTTCTCCTGTGATTCACTGATTAATGGCAACAGCATAACTTTTCTCTCGTTCTTGCTGGTACCCAGACTACAGCTTGATTTTATTTTGGCCTTTTTATGAGCCCCGAAGCTTAGCTTTGTACAATGAACTGACAAATTTTATAATCTCTAAGCCATCGACACTAAATGCTAACATTAGCCAACAAAAAGAAGCAAATTTTTAAAAACACATATATACATTTTTAACAAAGTCAGGGGTATAGCTATAACAGACAAACCGAGGCACTTGTCTCAGTCATTTTTTCGTTTTAGTTGTTTATAGTTATCATAAGCACGCTAAATAAAAAGGAAGAGAATTTAATCATCGGCATTACCCCAGTCATAATTTTCCTCTGGCTATAGCCCTGAAAGTAAAATATGCATCATGAAGTTTCTTACTCATAGTCTTGGGAGAAGTTATAGACTGTTCACTGCTCTCTATTTTCCTGTATTTTTATTCGATGGTTTAATGCATGGATAGAATCACAAGAGAACTGGACGCCAGTGCAAAACGGGAGACTTGATGGGGTAGGGGGCTCGCTTTGCTCAACTCCTCACCCCCACCACCACGTGCTTCACGCTCGATTCACTTGCTTTTTTTTTGTATGCGTTGAAAAATTGAAAGGCTGTGACCAGTCTAGAGAAGTTAATCAGTGCCATGGCCCTCTAATGACTATTGCCCAGGATCCATTGTAGCCAATGCTGCAAACTCGCAAGCTAACCACCTTAAAGCTGAAAAACTGTTCAGTGCAATGGTTGGCAAGTAGAAAGCTGTACAATAATGGTTTTGTTTACTTTTTTCTTACAAACACGTCACCCTACCACAATGTTTACCAGGGGTTTCATTATAAGGGCTGGGTGCTGAACAAATTGACTGGCTGCCCACCTGGTTTGACCATCTAGTGGAAAGTTTTTCTTAAAGAAGACTTTCCATTCAAATAATTTTGCTGGCCTGTGAAAACCAGTTGCCCTCCTACTGAAAAGGTTAATGAAACCCCTGTTTACACTTTAAAAAAACAAATTGTCCTTAGCTGCTAACACAAATCATGAAGAAAATTTTTAACTAAGCCATACTGAAACAAGCTCTGTTGGTACTGAGATAGCACATTATGCAGTTAGAAAATGCAAAACTGTGCACAATCCTGCTTGTACATTGAGTTCTGTCCCAGCCGATTACAAATGTACCTTAACAAGACTGAAGGTACACCTCAGTAACTTGGATATGGTTGTTGCTGCTGTTGATAGTTATAGCTATATTGGTTGTACCCCTGTTGCTGTGGATACTGACCACTTGGATACCCTTGAGTGCTACCATAACCACCCTGTGCAGCAGGTTGCTGTTGGGATTGCGGCTGCTGCTGCTGCTGCTGCTGCTGTGGATAAGCCGCTGGATACTGCGTCTGGGCCTGTCCTGTTCCAGAATAAGGTGCAACCCCAGTAGCTGAGTAACTTTGGCTTTGCGGAGTGTAACTTTGTTGACTAGTTTGACTATAGGCTTGTTGAGCTTGGCTCACGGGATATGCTGAAGATGAGCTGGTCATACCAGGGTAGGTTGACTGGGTCTGAGTGGAAGTGGGAGCATAAGATTGTGAAGGCGCTTGACCAGCTTGGGTAGCCTGCTGAGGATACTGGGTCTGCTGTGCATATGATGCTGCTGAAGGTGCTTTGTTTGCTAGTGGTGACGGTGCAATGTTCTGTTGTCCTGGAAGCTGCATCTGCTGTGACGCAGGGTTGGACTGTTGGGGATACCCTTGGGAACTTGGATCTTGGTTTTTTAAACCTGCAGGTGCAAAATATTTGGAACAATTTCGGTTTGTACCTACATCCTGTTAAATACCTTTGTGAGATGTGATCAATATTCAATTGTTGGATCAAGTGTAATTTTGAATAGTTAACAATACTTTCAATAAGATCTTGATATACTGCCAGATTGCACTGCAGCTTTATATCACTTTTGACAGTTTAAAATACAAAATAGTCTGACCTCCATCAGCAGGGCTGGTGGGGTATAGCTGTCGAGAGATGCTCGTAGTGGAGCTGTCTGGCTGCTGTTTATCCTTGGCAAGGGGATCAAACATGGTCACCTCTGGGGTGGGCTTGGGAGGAACGGGTATAGATGGCAATCCCTCCTGAGTAGAAACTAAAGAATACCATTGATAATATATTACACTTATTTACTTCTTGTTCTGATAACATGATAAGCAGCCTTTTTGAACTAAATGTGCACATAAAAAGAAGTAAACAGAGATCTTGTAAATGCGTCATTATCATAGCAGATGGTATTTCTGTATGCTAATAGTATTACTCAAAGAAATCTTCTAAGGCAGGGAAGGGTGTAAAGAAAACGAAGTCATTTTACAATTATAGAAGTTGACCCAGGATGATTCACCAACTAGTTTCCACAGCAACATGCATGCAGCTATTACCATCTTATAATCTATCAGATTTTCATAAAATATATTTTTCCCAGTGCATCTTTTTAGAAGATGAAGAACACTACTCGGATAGTAGCATAGATCATTTCCTTAAGTACAGCTTTTTAAAGTAAAGCTTCATACTTTTTACTTTATACTGTATACTGTACTAGATATTTCTTAAAGTTATACTATGACACTGCAAGTAACCCACAAACCTTGTGTAGGTTGCTTATCAATTGGCTGCTGCTGTCCACCTTTGGGCTGGTCACTTTCATCATTTATCTCCAATCTATTTAGAAGATAATTTATCCTATCCCTAATCTGTGTCAATTCTCTTCTAAACTCTGCAACAAGGGTGTGTTCAGGAGGTCGAGGTACTCCATTAACTGAAAAACATTCAATTTATATATTACACCAACAGAATAGATCAGGTCAAATATCTTTAAAATAAATAATCATAATAATCATACTACCATTTGACTAAACAAGGTCAAGAGAAGGTGAATGTGGCTGGCAGTTACCTCGCTCAAGTGATGTTACAGAGTAGGTTTAAATATTTTTTAATGCTGAACTACATGTATCAACATTAAAGAGCTTGCAAAAGAGGTGATGTGTAATTAATAATTGAAGGATGACAATAACCTTTACTTGACTTGTACCAAGTTTATTGTTTATGTATCACCCTTGAGCATTACTCATGGCTGACTATTGGCAAACTCAAAATCTGATTGGCTACACAGAGTGACACTGTCTATCAACCAGATGATGGTCTCTTGATATCTACTGGTAAAGTCTGTGTACAAGCCAAGTGGCTCATCAGGCTGGAGCTTGTTCCGTTTCTGTAGCATGAAGTGTGTAAGAGTATTTTCACTCCATCCTGGATGGGATGCTAGGCCATTGCTGGGTTACACTCACTCACTTACCCTCTTGTCATCAGTTTCTCAAGTAACAGGACGACATGTACATACTACATGTAGTCCCACGTATTGAACAAAAATTCTTACAACCAAAGTACAGCATTTAGTTCTAGCAGACATGATTGATAATAAACACAGTTTTCAGAACTTACCTAATTAAGCTTTAACTTTGGCTTAATTAACTTAATTGTGCTGTAACAACTGAAGACATGTTTTATGATAAGAGATTACATTACGTTACACTGCTTTAATCAAACTTACCAAACAAAGTTATCCTTAATATTCTGCAAACGGTTCTTGCAAAGGCAAGGTCAGAACTATCGAAAATCGTTATAAGATCGCCATCTGAAACAAGTGCAAAGCTGGATTAGCTCAGTGACCTAGAAACTTGTTAAAGGGCAACCTCATAAAGAATATTACTTTGTAAGCTACAAACCATCCGAATAGGTACCTTCATCCTTGTATTTAATTGTGATATCATCCGTGTTACTAAGTTTGCCACGGTATACTCTCTGCATCATCAACAGCAAGTCATCATAAGTCAGATCTTCGTTGTGAATTGGTATGCATCGTATATCATCACCTAAACGAGCTTTGATTATAAGTGTTCCACTGAGATCCACATTCCCACCTACAAAATTCACCCCTCTATTTCCAGGTACACCAATAGAGAAAGTTTCTGGAGTGTAATTCATTTTTGGATGATGAAATTTTGAAACAGAGAATTATTTCCCTGTTCTAGATCTTTACCGAAAATTTTTCAATACGTGCTTCTTCCAGTTTGAGAATGACTTCATTCGCTTCCAGTCTTCAAACGAGCACCGTGAAAAAACAGTGCTTAGTCCCCACGCAGTTCAAAGAACGCCTTGTTATTTCTGCTATCGACCACCTTTACAAGAGGATGTTTCGACGAATTTCTTCACAAAATAGTTTTGTAACTCCTTGCCGGACTTTCATTAAGAGGTATTACAAGAAGAAATCATGGAAGGTGAGACAATAGACCTTATAAAGTTTTTTTTTTTGTACAGTAATCCCGGGTCCCTCGAATGGGAATCCAATGAAAAAATACCGGTAATTTTCTTAAAATCGAATTCTGGACAATTTATAAATTTTAAGGTGAAGATACTAGACAAAAAAATTGAAGTAAACAAATTTGAAGGAACTGACTGTGCTGGTCCAGTCGCTTGGTTAGTTTTCCATACATTTTGCTTATGGTTGCTGTTTTTTTTTTTTTCAGCGAAGTAGCATGGCTTACAAATTGGCAGAAAAAAATTATAGACAAGTAATTGGAAAATTAAAGAACGCGACTGGGCGCTTTTCAGAGTAGCTACAAACCTCAAATTTGGTGCAATCCTTTGTTTAGTATTTTAACTTTGCTATATTCATAAATTTGATGTTAGAGGTTGTTACTGGGGGGGGGAGGGTGGGGGGGAGACTCCCATATGAAAAGGATGGGGGTGCTTGTTGTACCTTTTAGGGGTTTAAATAGTGGTTTCAATATGTCTTAGGTTGTTCAGCCTCATAGGGACCAGAGCGGGAGCTTTTGCGGTACCTTCTAGAGTATCGAGAGGAACAAATATGACAGGAGATGATGTTTTGTTCTAGAGTTGGTACCTCTTAGGGGTGAAAAATTTCAAGCCACACGTCCACAAAACAGGATCTTGGTACCTTAGAGGTTCTTTTCAAAATTTCTGATGAGCACCCCTGTCCTTTTTACATGGGTGTCCTCCCTCCGGGGTTCTTACTTGTGTGAGAATTTGACAACATGTAGGAGGGGTAGAGGACATATGAAAAAGTTACTGGGAAATCATAGTGAAGCTCTACAAGACATCAAGGGAGGTGGCATGGCCCGGTGGTTTAGGGCACTGGATTTGAAATCTGGAGGTCCCTGGTTCAAATCCTCTACCCTACTGCTGTCTGGATTTGTTGTAGGTAGTCCCGAGTTCAATTCCTTGACTGTGTTGTGTAAATAGCCAACTGGTCAGCCTTGCACCAGTTGGGATTCTTAATAGTTTTTCTATTTGTAATATTTGGTTACTTATTTTACAGTGTCCCCAATTAGCACAGTGGTGCTAAATACATTCGATACTTAAATAAAGTTATTGTTTATTATTATTATTATCATTAAGAGAGAACACTGTTATTTGTGACATTGTGACTTGAAAACAGAGGCTTTGAACCATGGGCCTCCAGATTTCAAATCCAGTGCTAAACCACAAACCCACACCACCTCTAGCAATTTATACTCATAACTGACTCTGAGTATTTTTCATTGATTGACAGATGCAAAGAAAAAAGGCATCATCTTTGGAGAACTTCCAAACCTTTTATTCAGAGCAATTTCGTGAAGACTGGCCATTAATTTTTGAGTCACTGAAGTTACCAACCCAGCATTGTGCGGTAGTAAACAAGTTTTCTGCCCATAAGGAAGCTCACGAAAAGCTCTCTTCAGTGGCAGCAAAGCTTCATTACATATCATCTTTTAACAAAACACCTATACTTGAAGATAGCCAAAATCAGTTCCAGTTGCCTTGTTACTTTCCAAGTTCAGAAAATGTTGGATTTCCAAAACAAGGAGAAACAAATAACAGATATTTTGATTATTATCTTCTGGATGCTTCCTCTCTCCTGCCTGTCTTAGCTCTTGACGTTTTTCCTAAGAGCACAGTACTAGACATGTGTGCTGCTCCTGGAGGTAAAAGTGTCCTCATATCACAGTTCCTGTCAACCAAAGGTTGTCTTGTTGCTAGTGAAGTTGCAAACCACAGAAGGGCAAATCTCATTAAGGTAGGTTTGACCAGATTTGATTGAAATATCACCGTGATTAAAGCAAGGTGAACATGCTTTCCCCAAGATAAACCCCAAGGATTTTAATTTACTCAAGGGAGTGCGCCTGGCAAATTCTGCATGAGTTAAGACCTCTTGAAAGGGAAACAAACTATGTACACAAAGGCCTTTGTCAAGGCTGTACTCAATTTATTCTCAGGCACTCAACCGTGAGAATTTAAATATGCTTGAGTTAATTATTTAAACAAGATTATTTTGCCACTCAGGACCCCAAAATAACCTTCATTCCGGTATTCATTGTCTTGGTATGTATTTTGACCATCTTTTGTATTAACACTTGTCATCTGCTAGGTAATTAAAGACTATATACCAAAGATTTCCAAAACCAAGGACTTGGTGCAAGTTAGAAACCTGACTGGCTTCAAATATGGCAAATATGAACCATGCACTTATGACAGAGTCCTTCTTGATGTACCATGTTCATCTGAAAGGCACAACTTACAAACAAACTTTGAATTCAGCTTCTGGTCAGTTGAACACTCCAAGGCAAATGCCAATGTGCAGAAGAAACTGCTCATGTCTGCATTACAAACACTTATTCCTGGTGGAATAGTGGTTTATTCTACTTGTTCAATGTCACCATTAGAAAATGACGGAGTTGTAGATGAGGTTTTGTCAAAATGTTCTGAGAACAGTCAGCTCAACGTTGAAGTAGTGAATTCACAGTTTACAAATCATGTGTTGGCAGAAATGTTCAATTACAGAACGACGAAGAACGGTGTTCTGGTACTACCTTCAAAGGCAAAGAACTGGGGCCCAATGTATTTTTGTAAGCTGCAACGGGTTGGTTTGGAATCTGAATATGATTTATAGTTCAAAGTCTAAGTTCCACAGTAGTTCTTCTTCTGTAGCATTTTAGTTGTCTTCTGAATCTTTTTATAAGTAATAAATTTCTCCTTGAAAGTTCAAAAAACTTGTACCCTAAACTAATTTGCACTGGACAGAGTCCAGTTTAACTCCTCATTTTATTGCTGGTTAATTTGCATTAATTTCAGTTAGAATTCTGCTATTTAAACAATTAGATTATTCGCTCATGATTTCTATGAGGTGATTGTTGATGAGGCCTTCATCCACATAGAAATCTCGAACTCATAATCCAGTTGTTAAATAGAATGACAGCTTTGAGCGTGCACAGTCTTATAGGATGTTGACTAAGAAATAGGCCCTTTGCAGCTGGGCCATCACGTGATTTACTTTTCATTAAATTATGGGCTGTAACTTTAAGAATGCCAGAAATGGAAAAAAGCTAGTTGGAAATATCAAAATGGTTAACTTTGAGGCTTAAAGAATGGGATTTTATATTATGGCTTGAATTTTTAAAAATTAAAGAGACTTGCAAGGAAAAAGTTGCTGGGGAACAAGACCTTTCTCTCCAGCAATATTTTCCATAGAAATTCTCTTCATTTTCTGAAAATTCCCTGTCGTGTAAAAAGTAGTCACTGTGGTATTTCGGTCTCACGAGATTGCTCCAAAAACTTCCGAAAAGTCGCGTACTATCTTGCTTGCACAACCGATGACTAAGTAACCACAGAAACCGCACCAAAACAATTAATGTAAAACCCAACATTCTGACTACACTAAGACCGGAGACGTTCAATGTAAATAGTTTATTGAGGATGCGTCAGTCAGTCATCTGATGTAGATGTATTCCGTCTTGTAAGATAGTCTGTATCCTTGGAAATCACAACTATCGGTTCTAAAAATTATCGGTGGAACTTATGCTACGCCAGTAACGAAAACCCAATAAAAAAAAACACCCTTTAGGCACTTTAGATGTGGCCAAACAATACGTGGAAACGTATTCCTCGTCTAATGCAGTAGCACGAGACCCCGAGGAAAGAGTACAAACTCAATAGTCTAGAATTTTACAATTATACATACAGGCTGTTATAACAAAAGCTTAATAAAAGAAGAGGACGAACACAAAGACTGACTAACCTAGATTAGTATCACCCAACTAGTGGACTAATGCAAATCCTGCATTTTAATTGGCTACGCTACCAGAGGACTATTAGTAATAGTCCTCGAGTAG